CTATTATGAGTGATGACCTAAAATTGGTATCAAAAGAGTTTAATGTGAAAAGAAAGGAGAAAAGTTATCAAGGGAGGAGACTCAGTCAAAATTATCAATTGAATAAAAAAAGAGAAAGAAAGAGAATAGTTGAACAAAAAGAAGTAAGAGTCACTTCAAGAAAGAACAAATAAGGAAGCAAGGTAAAGATGAAAAGAGAAGAAAAGTAGGGCTTAAGAGATAGTGAAAGAGGTAGTACCCTTAGCCGTAATGTCAAAAAGGGCAAAAAGTCACTAAAATGTGCCCATATGTACCATACGTGACCCTAAGCCCATGTTACAAGCAAAGAAAGTCCTATCATGATCCTAGAGTCGAATGTGGTGAACTAAGTAGTTAAAATAAGGGAAAGCGTGACGACGAGTACTAACGAGGTGTGAATTTGTTTTGAGTGTGAGTGTTGAATAACAATCCTTGTACCCAAAGATAAATCACCGTGTGAAATATGAGGATTTCTTTCGAAGTGAGGGCACTAGTTGCAATGTCGTAAAATTGGTACCTTGGTGAGAGGTATAAGATTAGAGGATACTGTGCACACTGAGTTTGTGTGATGGTCTGGTCCACATGAATTAACTTGTCGAACCTAAGAGAGTAAGCATGCACAAAACAAAAGAAAAAGTTGGTACTGATAGCCATGTGATTAAGGAAGCTTAAAAGAGTATACTTTTGTACAAAGTGTTGTGTTGAGTCATAGTGTGTTGCTTGAGGACAAACAAAGAATTTAAGCTGAGGGTGTTGATGTACTGGTATTTTTGGTACTCTCATTTCTTTTTCCTTGAGAGTTGTGTCTACATAGAGACTTTTTGTAGTAGCTTTACCATGTTTTTATCTTTGGTTTGCAGGAAAGATGTCCGGAACCAAAAACATTAAAGGCAACAAAAAAAAATTGCAAAGGCGACCCGTGAAGTCCATCAACGGTCCATCGTTCCATTGATGATCCATAGAGGGTGACCCTCGATCGAAGTTCAGACAACTGAAGAAAACTCGGGAAATTTGACCAGGTGTGGGACTACGGAAAGAATTGACGGTCTGTTGATTGATCGATTGACCATTTTGTTGAATCGTCGACGAGTTTATAGATATTCCATTACCCGAAGTTGGAGATATCTAAGTATGCAGCAACGGAAGGAATCGACAAACCGTCGATGCATCGATGAACCGTGTTGTCGGTCTGCCGATTGATTAGGACAAAAAAATATTCTAAGTCTGGGCTGACAGGACAATTGACGGTCCGTCTGTGGGGGTCGTCGATTACAATCGCGTTTTCTGAAAAACTTTCCTTATTTTAATTCCTTTTTATTTAGGACAATATTTTCTATAAATAGGTTTTAAAACCTCATTTTTGAGGTTAGACATTATTATTATTGTTCTTACTTTATTTTGGAGATTAGTTTTGCAACTTTGGCAGTAATTCAATTTGTAGATTTCATTTTCAAGTGTTATCTTATTATTTCAAGTTGGTTTTCTGGATTTTCTTCGAATTGTCAAAGTAAGTTCATGTTTAGTTGTTTAACAACTATGAATTGTGTACTTATATGCATGGATAACTAATTACATTACTGGGGTTGTGGAACCGTGGGTTATTAACAAAGTGAACCTAACTTATTAACCATTCTCAATAGGTTATTGCATGTATTTATATTTCATTCCTTTAGATGCCTTTTCAACGAGTGCAAGCGATAGTACTAGCCTTGTTTCTAGTTTCCAGACAAAGAAGGTATTAATAAGAAAATAATTATCAATATATATTTAGCGGGATACTATCTAATAGGCTAGGCTCGATTGGTGCGAATTAATAACTAAGTCGAACATCTATGTTGATGCTTAATATGAAGTAAAGTTAAGGGTGAGTAGCTTATACACACTTTGCTGGACCAAGGTATGGGGTGAAATTCTTTAAATGTTGGACCAAGGATTTAGGGATACATAGCTTATCACTTAGCATGCAAAATAGTAGGGAAAAATAGGGTGTATCACCCACATACACCCTATTTTTTCTCACAACTTGATAAAAACTAAATCTGTACAATCTGTCACTTTTTTTACTTATAGATATTAAAGGAGTTTGGTACACAAACACCCTTCTTTAATTACGAATTTTCGGAAAAAACTTGACTAAGTAGAAGTAATTGTACCTTCAAGTTAAGTCTACACCATTTTCATCGTGGGATTCATCCGAACCTAGTAGTAGAATTCTTTACATTATACGACCGCTTATACTTCTTTTGAGATGTGTAATTTGAGCGTATCAGCTTAAGCAAAAGAGCTATCAGTTAAGCGACCTTCACTTTAGCGAAAGAGACTTCCTTTTTTTGATGTCTGAGGTTTTTGAGGGTCACTTCTTCAACACCTGAAAGGATTTTTTGGCCACCAAATTTCAAGGTTTAAGCTCTATTTTCTTTTTTTTATCGTGAGAAGTCCTTGGTGATCATTATGGAAAGATTTTGTTAAATCTCTTGGGTAAGCTTACATAATCGTATAACTTCAATTCACTTCAATTTTTTATGGGTTTTAACATCAAAATATGAGATTTTGAATGGTGAATGATGACGATTTTTTTAAGAACTCGAGATTTAAATTAAAATGGCAATTTTAAATTGATTTTGAAGTCCTTTTTCGAAATGTTTTCCCTAATAACTTCTTAAAGCCTTGAGTAATGTTTTGGAATATTAAATTTCGAAACGTTAATTTTGAAATTGTTTTTTTGTGTTGATTGAACAATTTTTCAAGAGAATTAATTTGAGAATGTTGTTTCCAATGTTTGATTATAGACATGTTCTGTCAATAAGGGTATTAGGGCACATCAAGCAAGATTGAGGTGGTTATGGGTTGTCCCATGTCTACATCAATTATGAAAACCCAAAGTTATGTGGGCCTTGAAAGTTATTACTTGGAATTTGTTTAGGGTGTCTCCACTATTGCATATATTCTATAGATTGACTTGGTAGAGTGTGAGTTTCCAATGGTATGATGAGCTTGAAAAGAGATTTCAAAATCTAAAGCCCTTACTGATATTGACTCTGATTTTAACTTTACCCGAAGATATTGTTCACTTCAGTATGTATTGTGATGTTTCTGGAGCCGCGTGAGTGGAGTTCCGATGTACAAGGATAAGGTTATTGACTATGCTTCTCATAAGTTGAAGACCCACTAGACGAACTACCCAACCCCTTATCTGGAGTTGGCAGCCGTAGTGTTTGTGCTTAAGCTATGACAACGTCAGCTGTATGGAGTGGATAGTGAGGTTTGCTGACATTTGTTGTGTGGAGAGCATTACAACAACATATAAACTTTTTCAATCATCAATATAACTCCCAATAGACTTTCTCTAAGATGAGAAGAAGACTTTACTCTTGTCATTTACGAATATAATCATATTACCGGTCAAGAAAAAATAATTAAATACATGTTATATTTCACATTTAGTCAAGAAAAATAAAAAGTTATAATTGTGAAAACACGTTATTTTTCTCACTTGTGCAAAACAATTATAGGACTGCTATTATGTCATGTATGAAAATATTATTACCATTTAAGAAAAAGGAAAATTAATGTGATATTACGAAAAATTCAACATTAATATTTTTTGCCATTTACGAATATAATCATACAAGTTTTTAAAAATGGTTTATGAAAAAGAGGGCCAAGAAAATAATACGCTTAGCAGATTCTTTTGTGAATGTTCTACGTAGATCATCATATATACTTCTTATTGAATTTAATGAGGTTCATGATCATGAAATTAGTTTTATCTCACTAATGTTACCTTATACACAATATTTTCTTTGTATTTTTCTAGTAATCTACTCCAATGTGTTTTGGATGTGTATCCCACGTTAAATTATTTATATTCCATATGAACATGCAAAGAGAACAACTACATTTTTTTTATATTAACATATTTTCAGAATGTTTGTGAGTTTTTTTCAAAATAACTCGGAACATTCTAAAATAATATATTTTAAAGCATAGAAGATATTCTTAACTTGATCATACGTTTGTGACACATATAATACTTTTAATTTGAACACAAATTCTACCCATATATATATATTTGAGGTAAGTATTTTCATATATATATATAAATGAAAATACTTACCTCAAAGAAGTAAGTGTAAGAACTAAGATTTTATTAAATTTAAATTTATAAATTAATTTGCATTATATTAAATTCAAGAAAATAGTGGAGGTCATGTGACAATCCAAGTCAAATTAAATAATCCACTAAAGTCATGCCACGTGTCAAGGTTATGTGGCAATCCAAGTCAATTCAAATCATTCACTAAAATCATGCCATTTGTTAAGTTATGTGGCAATCCAAGTCAAATCAAATGAGCCACTATAATAATGACATGTGTATGAGTGACATGTTATGAACAATTAGATCAAAGCTTTTAATGGAGCAATTTGATTAGTCAGTTCAAACTGACCAGTCAAATCACACCATAGACCATTCCCTACTACTATAAATATGGGTCCTCATTATTTATAGAGGGAGAGGTATTTCAAGAACAAGTAGAAAGAAAAGAGCTCGTGAATAAAAAAAACTACAAATTCTCTACAAGCTGCAAGTTCAACGTTCAATATTCAAGATCAAGTGACTTGTTCATTCTAATTATTCGTCATAACTATACAAGTGTTCGTGACAAATAATTCATACTCAAGTTCTAATTTCAAGATTCAAGATTCAATATTCAAGATCAAGTTATTCAAACCCTTGACTCTAAATAAAATTCAATTCCTAATTATTTCATATTATTTGAAGAATCAGAGGATTATCATAGAGATTGTAACACACTGTAGTTTGAAATCAAATACTACATTTTTTTACATATGTTTTCTTGTCTTGATTATTTATTTTTCCTTGCTTGAAAATTTGTTGTGTACAAATTTTGGCACGTTCAGTGGGACCATATCTACCCCTCATCTCTTTATATCAATAATCAATTCTCAAGAATACTAAGATGTCTTCTAAGAAGTTCAACTCCAAATCTGTTCTGGTTAAGACTATTGATTCCAAGTTTTCCTCAGCAGTGGAGAACAAAGTGGATGCTACAATGGAATTTTTGAGGCCCATCACTACGAACAGAGCAAACTTACTACGACAACAAACACTTCAAATGTCATCTATATCACTTCCTATTCTAGATCTCCCATCTTCAAAGAGGGAAATATTCTCTCCGAATGAATTAGCAGAAGGAGGGAATGAAGCTGAGATTGTTGAAAAAACATTAGCCCAACTCAGTCTATTTATTTAAAAGGATCATACTATTCAATATGAAGATAATGTTTTGGTCACTAGATCTTCCCCAGCCACTCCACATAACATGTTCCTATCGGATTTAAGTTTGAAGGAATATCCTTTCTTTACTCTACACCCATAATGGGAATCCAAGCAATGATGACTAACACCTTATTTGTTGAAGAACAATCGGCAAATTTGACAAAGGCAATTGAAGGTCTAACAAAGTATGTGCAAGATTAGAATAATCTCGAATTGTTAAGTTCATGGATAGGGTTGAAAATTTTATGGAGTGAGGATCAATCCATGCACAAGGAAAATGCCCATTAGTGCAAGAAAAGGGAGAATCCACTAAAAAGAAAACACATTTTGATGAGGAACTGTAAGTATCTGTTGAAGAGGGAATACCCATTCATCAACTAAAAGACTTCATAATAGAACTCTCAAATATAAATATGATGTCCCTTCAAAGTCATCGTTTACATAAACCAAGCCATACACTCCAAGAATCAATGTTTTGAAGAGGCCTGAATGTTATCAACCTCCAAAATTTCAACAATTCAAAGGGAAGGGAAATCCAAAGCAACAAATTGCACATTTTGTTGGAACTTACAATAATGCTGGTAATATGGAGATTATCTGGTTAAAAAGTTTGTGTGCTCCTTGAAAGAAAATGCCATCGACTGGTATACAGACCTAGAGGTTGGTTCAGGTCATGATCGGGAACAACTTGAACATGCATTTCTCAATCGTTTTTATACCATGTGATGCATTGTGAGCATGATTGAACTCACAAATACACGTCAATGGAAGGATGAACATGTCATTGAGTTCATCAATCGATGGAGGAATTCGAGTCTCAATTGAAAATATAATCTTAATGAAACCTCTAAAATATAAATGTACATCCAAGGAATGCATTGGAGACTTCGTTACATTTTACAAGGTTTCAAGCCCAAGTCATTTAAGAAACTAGCAACATGATCTGATGATATGGATTTAAGTATGTCTTCAAGAGGAAATGAGGGATCACCTATTTATGAAACTCGTAGAGGAAAAGTCTAAGTGTTGGTAAAGAAAGGGATAAAATTTGCATCCAAGTCTGAAAACAAAGAATCAATGAATGTTAAGGCTACACCTTTGAAATTGCCATAAAGTTAAGTAACAAACCAATTGCGAAGAGCACGACTTCTCAAAACAACACCGGCTGAAAGTTATATTTGAAGTAAATGGAAGAAAAAGAATACCCATTGATGGATTCAAATGTTCCAACAATTATTGAAGAGCTCATTGCGTTGAAACTCATTGAGTTATCTCAAATAAAGTGCCCATACAAAGATGGAAGGATTAATGATCCTAATTACTGCAAATATCATCATTTGATGGGTCATCCGACTAAATAGTTCTTCATCTTCAAGCAAAAGATCATGGAATTAGCTCATGAAGGAAACATATTACTTGAAGATGAGAAGGAAAATGCAAGTTTCTATCACTTTTGGCTCACATGATCCCACAATTCTTTGCAACTTTAAAGAAGTTCATAATTGTAATGATGTTGTACCCTCATTACCACCAATAATAATCAAATTTGGTGACTTTGAACCAATAGATGTCAGCAAATCATTGTGTCGTCTATCTATGGAGAAGGCTATAATGAGAGGGAATTCTATAGTAGAAAATAAATTCTAGTGTGCGGATGATGAAGGATTTTTTTTTGTGACAAGACGAAGATGCTGCAAAGTGAACTCACAAAGATATCCAATCAAGGAATTGACAAGAGGAAAAATTAAAAGTCTAATCAAAACTGGATAGTGAAGAAAAAGTGAAGCAATCGAGAGTCATGGAGAATAACTATAAAAATGGCTTATTCCGGTGACATTACACGAATTCTGGCCATGTTGGTTCCACACTAAGATTTCTCATTGTGATACCATGGCCTCTTGTTGTAACATTGAGAAATAAGAAATGATATGGGAAAAGTCATCACCAACCTTACAGCCATCGTATGAAAATCCCATTGAGTTTCTCTTAGAACAAGTGAATACTTATGATGAAAAGTTCACATTCACTAATGATAACATTTTATTGGGTGAAACATCACATATTCATCCTTTATATATGGTATTTTTTGTGTGTGGTCATAAAGTAAATAGGATTATAGTGGATGACGGTTCTGGGGTCAGTAACCTTCCTATTCAGACTTAGAAAGAACTCGGAATCCCGATGAAAGAATTATCTAAAAGTTGTTTAATGATTCACGGATTCAACCAAGGCGGGCAAAGAGCAATTGCTAGAATCAAAATAAAGATAAAAATGGAAGATATGTATGCGAGTACATGATGCACATTATTGACTAAAAGACCTCCTATAGTATCTTTTTTGGAACGACATGGATCCACGAGAATAAATTAGTGTCACATCCACGTACCATCAGTGTTTCAAGTATTTGAAGATGGAATTCAAAAGAAGGTAGTCGTTGATGATGAACCTTTCACCGAGACGAAAATGCACTTTGCAAATGCAAAGTTCTACTTAAAGGATCAAGTCTTAGTGGAAGTCAAGTTGAGAACTCGATACCAATCAGAAAGGTTGATGTCACAAAAAGATTTGATATAGCAACTGAAAAGATAGGGGTTATCACGAAAAAAAATCAACTACCTTTAGCAATGACACAGTACCTAAGGCAAGAGAGATATGTTTATCTAAGAGAGTATATCCTACTTTTCATTATATCCCAAAGGCAAATAAGGTCAAAATTCAACCTTCTTGTTGAATAGTAATAAATTGACATTTCCTATCAAACAAATTTATTCAATCAAATCACCTTCAAAAGTGATTAGAGGATTTGTCAATCCATCAAACCATGATTCATATGAATCACTTCCTCATAAGCGTACAGTTTAATTTTTTTACCCGAATGCTTAGGAATTATTGGTGAAAACGGGATACAATCCCGATGAAACCTCTCAATTAGGGAAGCTCCCACATGAAGTGTTGAAAAGGCAAATCATGGCTTGAATTCTACTCAAAGGATGTTGACGGAAAGAGGGTACATGGTTAAATAATCACGTGAAGGCTTGCGTTTCAAACAACCATCACCAGTAAGAACCCTTATAATAAGGATGATCATTAACTACGTTACTATATTTGAAGAACCAGTAATGTCTAAAGAAAGTCCTTCTATGTTTGATCGACTTACTGTCCCAACTTCTAATGTTTTTGTATTTAATCAGATAACCGAGTAAACTCAAGAAACTTCATTGTTTGATCATTAGAGACCGATTAATATGAAGTACAAATGACAAAGAGATCGTAAAAAATGGGAGGACACGTTTATTGTCAACAGAATGGTCCACCCAAGAATTGTCCTAGTTTTATTCCTTCTAGAATGAGGCGGGAAGAAAAACTTGTAGTTTCATGTGGTAAGGTCCTGAGAACAAGAACACATACTAAAGTTCACACTAAGGAGAGGGACGAAGATGAATAATGTTTAGGATCATCACTGTACATTACAATTTTGACAAGGAAAATGCTTCACCTCATGAAAGAATAGAGGAAAATTTTGTTGATGTTCACATATATCCTTCAAAATGATGGTGATCCTCAAAAAAATGAGGACGCAAAAAATACACCCCCTGAACCCGAGGAAGAGATGAAGAATATTATTGATACATTAAAAGAAGTGAACCTTGGGATTGATGATGATATGAGGCCTACATATGTAAGTGTCTCATTCAATGACGATAAAGAGAGGAAATACATTGAGTTTCTTCTCGAGTTAAGAGATGTATTTGCTTAAAGCTACAGGGAGATGCCTGGATTAGATCCTTTCAGTCGCAGTTCATCATTTTGCTGTGAAATGTGGCGGTCGTCCTATCAAGAAAGCTCAGTTTCGACTTAGACTTGAAAGCTCAGTGTCGATTTAGACTTGAACTAGTTAGTTTGATCGAAAATTATGTCAACAATCTCATTGAAGCATGTTTCGTCCGTGAAGTCAAATATCATACATGGATTTCAAGATTGTGCCGGTAAGAAAAAAGAATGGCCAAATTTGAGTTTGTGTTGACTTTAGGGATCTTAATAATGCATGCCCTAAGGATGACTCCTCTCTTTCAATTTCCTGAGCTTCTGATTGATTCCATGAGTGGATATGAGACAATGTCTTTAATGAACGGTTCATCTGGATACAATCAAATTTCATGGCACTTAAAGATGAAGAACTTACTGCATTGCGTACTTGTAAAGGCATATATTGCTACAAGGTAATGTCTTTTGGTTTAAAAAATGCTAGAGCTACTTATCAATGAGCCATGCAAAATATTTTTGATGATATGCTACATAAAAATGTTGAATGTTATGTTTATAAAGTGGTGAAATAAAAAAAAGGGTGACCATTTGCAAGATTCAAGAATGGTTTTTGAATGAATTTGAAGATACCAACTCAAAATGAACCCTTTAAAATGTGACTTTGGGGATACTTCTGGAAACTTTCTTGGTTTCTTTGTTTGACATAGAGGGATTTAACTTGACCAAGACAAAATAGATTCTATTTTGAAGATTCTTGAGCTTAAAGACAGTTATGTGTTGAAAAGGTTGCAGGGAAAAGTGGCATACCTTAGAAGGTTTACGTCAAATTTAGCTGGCAGATGGAAACCATTCAATCGTATTATGAAAAAGGATGTTCCCTTTGAATGGGACTACGCTTATACAAATGATTTTGAAATCATAAAATCTTATATAATGAAGACTCCAGTACTTGTAGCTCCTATACGTGGAAAACCATTCATATTATATATTGCCGCACAAGAAAGGTTAGTACGAGCACTTGTAGCACAAGAAGACAATGAAGGGAAAGAAAATTCCCTTTATTATTTGAGTAGGACAATGACACAAAATGAGATCAAGTATTCACCTATTGAGAAATTATGCCTCACCTTAGTATTCTCAATTCAAAAGATGAAACATTAATTTCAAGCTCATATCGTATGACTTGTGTCTAAAGCAAATCCTATCAAATTTTTCATGTCCAAACCTGTCTTGAGTGATCAATTAGAAAGGTGGTATCTCCAATTTCAACAATTTGAAATGATATATATATCTCAAAAGACAAATAAAAGGAAAAGTGCTAGTACATTTCTCAGACAATCATCCAATTTGAAACGATTGGCAGTTATCTGATGAGTTACCTAATGAAGATGCAATATTAATTGAAATACGACGTTGGAAGATGTATTTTGATGGAGTTTTGCATAGTGAACGAGTTGGTGCTGGAGTAGTGTTTGTCACGGCATATGGAGAAGTCCTACCATATTCCTTCACTCTTACTCAACATTGCTCCAAAAATGTTGCTGAATATAATGCACTTTTACTCGGTCTTGAAATTGTTGTTAATATCAAACAATTGCAGTTGCAAATTTATGGTGATTTCAAGTTAGTGAATGATAAAGTATTAGGGGATTATGAAGTGAAGAAGCCTGAGTTACTCCCATTCTGCAATTATGCTCAAAAGAAGTTAGGTTGGCTTGGAGAGGTGACTATTCAACATATCCTAGAAAGGAATATATATAGTCAATGATGAGCCTCTTAAATAAGGTTCAAGTTTCATCCAATTAGCTTGATATGAACTTGGAAGGATGGCATTACCGGGCGAAGAAGGAGAAGTCAGACTACTAGATTAAGTGCATTTATAAGTCAATATGGGTAACAATTTTAGAAAGACATGCATATGAGTAGAAAGATGTTAAGAGAAGCAGCTTAGAAAAAATTCCTATAAGGAATTTGAGTATTTGCACATGAAGAGTTCAGCATACATGAGATTAAGTTTTCTTGAGTAGTAGAGTGAATGAAATATAGGCTAGTTCAGAATAAAACGGAATAGATCTATATCTTTAAAGTATTGGCTTCATAAGATGAGAAACCAACTCAAGTATTAAGAATTAGGAAGTTATGTGTTAAAAACAGTTATAGTTTTATATCCTTCAATTTATACACTAGCGTATTCCTCAAAGTTCAGAAATTACATCTTCTTGATATTTCCAAAACAAGAATTGTGTCCATGGCATAAGCTTATACCTTCAGGTAGATTCACATCTATGTTCGGTTCCTAGAAGAAAATGAAAATACTTTAGCAAATTAATCTCTCACATACTCCATATAATTATGGATATTAATCTCATGATAGAACCTATTCATGTAAGAACTTATGTCTCATAGTATGCTCAGTTTCGCAAATTCATGACTTAATCTCAATGGATAGAAACAAAATAATACATCATACATATTTTTATATCATAATTCTCAAATGAATCGTGCTTATGATTTTTCGCCTAAATCTCTTTCAGTGATCTTTTTTAGTTTTGAGAGTGATGTTGTTAATAGTTGTGTCATGATAGACATTCAAGGTTTGATGTTCCTTATTGAGGTAGTGGTTGTAATCTTATTCCATCTAAAGTTATTAAAGTAGAGGAAGAAAGTGATGAGGTTTTATGATGAGTAATAGTTAGTTGAGAGTAATTAGTCAGTTTCCTAGTAGTGATGCATGTAATTTCAGTTGGTAGAGATGATAAGAAGGTGGAAAAGTTTTAGAGGAGTTGGTTACTTGGAATCCCATGAAGTCGATATAGTAATAAGCTGGAATGTTGTGTTTAATTTTTATGGATGATTGCATTATGCAACAAATGAATTCTTCATTTAACCTTGATGTGTGTTGAATGAAAAGGTAAGAAGAAGTAGGATTGATTCAATGAAAGTGTCATCATGTACAAATCACGATTATGTGATTTATATTAGTATGATCATCTTATGGGTAGCACCTTATGATTTAGTGTTAGGCTTGAAACACAGTACGGTGAGTGCGAGCATGTGATTAGACTTAACTCTTGTAAAAGTAGTGGGATACTCTTGTAGGAGGTATGAATTATGGATAATGAGGTATATCTGTAATAACATGATTCCTTCGCTAGGGAATAGCCATTGGGTAAATAATTGACGTTAGAAAACTCTTTGATGGTATCTTGGATTTTCCCAACCTAGTCGATTAAGATTTAAACGAGATCGGAGTCTTTAAGGTATAGGAAAATTTTATAAAATTTGAGTGAGTTAATTATAATTTTAATTATATTAGTTGGTAGATAACTCATTGAGGAATCCGTACGACTTTACGAAATTGAATTCGGTTGAGTAGAACTCCCAAAATCGATAACATGAATTGATATTTTATGAGTGTTATGGGATAATGTTTTTTTTATGAAATGGAGATTTTGAATTCTTCGTTTAGCATTTTGTCTCCATATAGGCTGCCAAAGAATGATTGGTGCCGCTAGAGCGGGATGGATCCCGTCGTAGCGGGATAGACGCGACTTATGTTTGAAATATAACCCCAAGAATGTTTTATTCTTGACCATTTTTCACAATATATGATGCTTAATATACATGGCATATAGATGAATGACTATATGCCATGTATCACTTCTTAATTGTATGATTTAAGAGTGCGCTTGTGTTTGTGATTGTGGTGTGTTAAAGGATTCAGCGTAACTAACTGGGATCGAATTTCCATGTTTTGGCATAAAGATAGGATCGAATTGCCACGTCCGGCATAAAGATGGGATCAGATTGCAATGTTCTGACATAAGTATGAGATCGAACACAACATTCTTGTATGGTAATTATTTGGGATTGAGTTCCATACGAGGACCATTAAATTGGGTTTCGTGAGAGGACCATTGACTTGGTATATATTGTCTTATAGTTAAGAACATGGAAAGGGACCATGAATTATGACTTCTAAAAGAGTTATACTTAGTATGAGTGGGGATGTGAGACTTCATTCATCCATTAGACAAGTGGACTTTAAGAGTGTTTGTGATGTGGTTCTCTTATTGAAATTTGTTAAATTGTACGTTGTTCGTAAATGTTGATGATATTGTATATGTTCGGTATGTTCATATGTTTATAATGTAGCTTGACTTACTTATGGTGCACCTAATGGGATAGTCCTGTTATCCTATGAGTACACTTTGATTGTATATTGATATTGCACTTTCTCTTATTTTGTTAAGTACATGGCATCTTCAGGCGTCTATTGATAGACCTCCACTAGGTGACTATAGAGCGTGACCCGATTCAAGGGTGAGCCAGTTCTTTCAGGATGCCATGGATCTTTCTTGTTTATGTCTACTATTTTCAGGCTAAGACTTTTGTTTAAGGTGTTGTTTATTTTCGTTGTTGTACTACTTTTCTTTAGTAGAGTTTTGGTATAATGACTTTCAGGTTATAGGGGTTGTTCTTCCGTATTAGTTTGGATAGTTATTTGTTTAAAACTTTGGAGTTTATGGGAACTCTGTAAGTTTATTATCATTTAAACCGGCTTCCTTAAATGCCTTAGTTTTCATAAAACTTGTTAGGTTGGGTTTTAGTCATTTCTTTCCTACTGGGATGACAATCAAGATGGTCTGGGTCGTGAAAATATCATAAATACAATCAAATTCAAGATCCAAGATGATCCAAACATAGACTCAAGCTCCATGAAATACACTCGTATTCCAATTACAATCTGCACCACAAAAGAGTTCAACAAGTTTTGTATTAGTATGAACCACTCGTACCTAGTATATGTCATAGAACGGTAATAAATAATTACTGGCGAAGTATATAAGAAAATAATCCTTTAATTTTTACATGTCCAAATTATACTTATCAACCAAGTTTTCATCATTAGGGATAATCAAATGTCACATAATGTCGAACCACCAATAACACACATAATTAAAAAGAATAAGGGATGTAATGAGATGCAATACAATGTGACCCCATGAAATGATATTCCTCAAATTTCAAGTAATCTCTCAACTGTATATACACGATACTACTCGGAAATACATCAAAATTTCATAAACCATGGGGGACTCACGAGGTCCATATACTTACATAGATGATCTCCATGTGTCTCTGCCTACGATCTCACCGTAATATCATAAATCAGAAAGTCCAGCGAGAACGATTTTCATGTGCCCAAATTATTATCATAACCAATTTCTCTCACATACTATATTCACATGCGAAAATTACATAGCTCAATCACAACACGGATGAACTCCACGTGTTAGAGCTTTACTCGTACCCAATCTCATGTCAACGCATTTGTAGAATATGATATTAATAAAACTAATTGATGAAGCATCTCAATAAATCTAAATGTCTCTATGACATATAATCTCCTCAACTATTACAAATATATATGTTCAATAAAAAAACACAACCACACAACGCAATTTAGTCTTTAAATACACCAACTAGTGTCCATATACTTTGTCATTCTCAAATTATACTCTATCATATTATACTAGTAAATTTTTACTTTAATTATGTCGGTACTCATACCCAATTCCCGTCAGACCATTGGTACGAGACCGCATCTTTCGCTTTTACCCATTGTATATTCCCTTTTTAATCTTTAATTAGAAAACGTCCCTCACCGAAATCTAGAAAATCTTAACTTACCCCAACGTGCCACAAATTATCTGAGGGTTCGGTATGGGAAAATCATAGTCATCACCCAGCGTCTCAAAAGAGAGAATAACTGTAGATATTTGAGGACGAGCAAAATTCAGTCAAAAGGACTAAATTTGCATATAACTTTTTTTGTGTAATAAGATATATTCAAATAAGTGAGGAACTCATTAGAGTTTATAGAGATTCTCCAAGTTAAGAATAAGACTTTAATTTTGTAGTTTACGAATACAATCATATTACCGGTCAAGAGAATAATTAAATACATGTGATATCTCATATTAAGTCAAGAAAAAATCAAAATATATAATGGTCAAAAGATGTAGTTTTTCTCACTTGCAGAAAAAAATCCCGGACTACTATTGTCGTTTATGAAAATATTATTACCATTTAAGAAAAGGTAAATCAATGTGAAATTACATATAAATAAGCATAATTTTTTTATTTACAAATATAATCGTAATACCAGTTAAGAAAAAGTAAAAGAAAAGTGATATTTCATATCTAGTCAAGAAATAATCAAATAAATGTGATATTTCACATACATAAGGTCAAAACAAGTTATTTTACTTACTTTTGTAGAATATTATAGGACTACTATTGTATCTTTTATGAAACTAATTACTATCATTTAAGAAAAAGGCAAACTCATGTGATATCTTTTATGTATAACGTTCGTAACATGCATTTCAAGAACATCATTTTGAGAAGCAAATTTTCATAAAACATATTTTTAAATTGAAAAATAGATTGTTTGCACTTAATGGAGTTTTGGTTAATGTGAATGGTCAAGATGTCAAACCTTAAACAATTAACAACACTTGTTTACATTAAGATTTAAACACTTTTTTTGTGTGGACAATTTTCACTACCACTTCGGCCATAACCACAAACCACCACCACCATCACTATCGTTGATAGCCATCAGCCACCACAATCAATCACCTTTGTTGTCACAAGCATCGCTTACAACGACTATTGTGTTGATTAGCCATTCTTGAAAGTCTCTGTCACTCCTACCACCTCGATAATTTATAATTTTGTACACTGCTATCACCACTATCGTTACATTACCTGGCACAATTATTAGCCAGTACCACCAATGCGTTCAATCCTTATAACAACCACATCAATCGTCACAACTATTATCACTGCCAACTACA